CAAAATCTAATCATTTGTTCCTTACGCAATTTCCAAGATGTACTGAAAGTGTGTCATTAAAATGTGTTCACAACTTTTAGAGTTACGTGACTAACTGGAAGACAAATGAACAAACCCTGCAGAAAACATAATTTGTTCTTGTCTCATGAGGACTGCAACAACGAGTGGAAAGCGCTCCAGTACGTTTTTGTGTTATTTTTTGGTGTAGGTTGGATTGATAGTTGTTAGTCCTGGATCTATAACTGGATCTGTTTGGCTGGTTGCTTTGTGAAATGGGTGCAGCACTGACTGCCACTGCCCTGACCCAGAAATGGACTAAGGAGATGCAAATGGAAGGATGGATGGATGGATCTATAGCCTATCCGTCCGTGGAAGCAGATCCCTCGCTCAGTGTGGGCATCCCCGAGACTTCTCACTTTTCTCCCACTGGGTTTTTAGATTTTTTCTTTGCTGATGCAGAAGGGTCCAAGGACAGTGGTGATGATCCAGGACAATGACTATGTGTTTTATCATTGCATTTCTTTTGTTTGAACTGTTTAATTCTGTGATCTGTGACGGTTTTGTAAAGTATTTCGAGAAAACTACTATACAAAAAAAAAAACATTACATTGAATTGATAGATAGATAGATAGATCCTTTTAGATAGATAGATCCTTTTAGATAGATGGGTACGTACATGTAGATATATATATAGATAGATCTTTTTAGATACATCCTTTTAGATAGATAGATATATTGATAGATATAGATAGATAAAATGTGGGGCGACCGTAGCTCAGTTGGTAGAGCATCGGCCTCTGGGCCTGAAGGTCGTAGGTTCAAATCCGCCACGAGACCTACTTCACGACTTCCACTGATGACTGCTGTCGTTGTGTCCTTGGGCAAGACACTTGTCCCCGCTGAAAGATCTCAGCTCCTGTGGACTCACCACCTGCAGGAGGATCAGTGAGGGGCTGGTGCTGTGTGTACTGGGGGCAGCTCTTACTGCCACCCCCGCAGACCGAGAATTGGATTAAGAGGAAGAAAATGGATGGATGGATATATTTATAGATAGATGGATCCTTTTAGATAGATAGATAGTTTATTGATCCCCGTAGGAGAGATTCAGGAGTTTATCACGTTAGCATGAGGAAAAACTAAAAACCAAATGTTGTTGCCATGATGAATTGTGAAATCAGTGGTGTTTCAGTCTATATTTAAAACCACATTTGTATTTTATTGACACCATTCCCGTTCCTTAGCATAACCCCAGAAAAGCTTTGTACTTTGCCTTCATTGAAGTGAAAAGGCTGAGAACTTTGGCTTTTGAATGCTAACAATTTCACAGCTGAATACGTGGCTTGCATTTTCCATATTTTCTGTGAAACTGGAGAGAAATGTGTTTTACGTCAACGTGCGGCACACATTAAACATAAAGATAAGTTTTCACAAAAAGTTTTCACAAAAAGCTGCAAAGTATGAATCACTCATGTACAATTTAAACACTGTTTTAATTATGCGTTTGAAGTTGGAGGAACATTTTAATTGCCCATGAACAAAGTGTGCAGGCAGATTGCAATTCATTTGAGGGGACCATGTCTGGGAACGGCATAGAATCAGATGTAAATTATACATATACAAATTATGATATTAATTAGTGCAAAAATAATGCTTTGATTGTGCAAATGGAATACTATATTACTGCTGAACCATGCGTGGTGCCATGGAAAGAGTTTAATGGAACTTAATCCCTGCAAAAATAATAAAAATTCTTGACTCAAGCAAGATTATTAAGATATATCCAGGGGCTCTGTCTCCTCCCGCCTGGAAATCCTCTCCGTTCTCATAATGCTGTTTGATTAAAAAGTTGGACAGCCTATATGTATATATGTTCAAGGATTAGTTATTACAGCCAATGATAAGTAAGTAAGTAATCTTTCCACAGACAAGAGTCACGAGGCGCAAGTAAGGGACTGGTTTGGATATTGTATAATTTTAGGATGACAGTAGAAAGTCCCCTTTATTTATAGAGCGCTCCTCACAGATATTGCCTCACAACAATAAAATATGAATTTAAAGAAACTATTTAAAACAAATTAAACACACTAAAATACTAATAATATTAATAAAATAGCATTGTGTAGCACTAAAGTTCTTAATATAAACAATATTGTTGTAAAATGTATAAGATTTTTGACAACATGTGACTTGAGATCTAATGTACATAATGACAGAATAAATAAACGACTATACTATAAATACAATTAACTACACAATACATTCCAGTGCAAACAGACAACAAGAGGGTCATTAAAGGGGCTTTGAATGACTGATGTCGATTCTGAGGTTCTAAGATCCAGGGGGAGTGCATTCAAAGCTTTAATGCCACCAACTCAAAAGCTCGGTCACCCCTGGTTTTGTATTGAGTTCATGGGATAATTAACTAGTGCTGATTGGCCGACCTGAGACTGCGACCCGGTGCATGTTTGTGCGGAAGCTCAGACAGGTTGCCTGGAGACTGGCCATGAAGGGATTTTTAGGTCAGGATTAAGATTTTAAAGTTAATCCTGTAATAATAATGCTCATAATAATAATAAAAATGATAATAATGCTTCGGTCGTTATTATTCTTTCACTTCATTCAATGTGGCGATAGAGTAATACTGTAGCCACAACTGCCCTGAGGCACACTGACAGAAGCGAGGCAACCAGTATGTGCCAGACTCATACTAAGCAATGTGGGTGAAGTGTCTTGCCCAAGGACACAACGACAGATTGGCACTTTACAGCCGCAGCCGCCCCACTGTGGTACCTGGTGTTCCCAGTGGACTCCTATCACAGTACTAACCAGGCCCTGCCCTGCATAGCTTCAGAATGCAGTCGGGATCTGGCTTTTGCATGCAAGTATGGCCACAAGTAGGCTGTAGTCAAGTATTTCACTTTGAATTTACAGCCAGAAGATTGTGGGTTTGACTCCTGTGAAATTCATGTATATCAATTCTGTGTCTGCATGTTCTCCCCATTTCAGAGTGGGTTCCCTAGGCAACTCCGGTTTCCCCCATCATCCAAACATGCCCCATAGGTAAATACTCCAGCAGATTGCAAAACTCTTCCGAAGTTGAAGAAAAGGGCTGCTCATGATGACGTAAGTAAGCCATTTTTTTTTTATATAGCGCATTTTGACAGCCCAAGGTCACACAAAGCTCTTTACGATGTTCTGAGCGCAGATACTTGTTCCATTCACTCACTACATTCAGACCTATTTATAAACTATTTACATACCTACAGTATTTGTATACTTACTTACTTGTGATGAGCAGAATACGAGCCTATTTATCCTGAATAATCTGGCCTTCATGGACGAGTGTTGAATAGAAAGCAAGTGTTGAGATAAAGCGGCAATAAGCAAAGCGAGGGAAACATTCAGCGTGAGGAGAAGAGACCGTGACGAGACTAACATTGAACTTTTTGTCCCGAATACAGAAGGCACCATCCGTACACGGCAAAAAATGATAAAATATGGGGGTGAGACTTGCTTGAATAAAGTGGGCACATTCTGACTGTCTTAAAACAAAAGAACGAATAAGAACAGTTGCTTAAGTTTCTCATTCCAAGGGAGACATTTCACAATAATTTTGCTCTTTGTCCCATTTGCAAATCGTTTTTTAAGTCAGTCAAAATTTTGATCAAAATGAGATACATTTTGCCGAATTTGATCATTTTCTGAGTTATTTTTCTTCACTTTTTGCAGTGTAGTGACTGCTTTTCTTTGGCAGGGACAGGGACATGTGTCAGAGTTGAGAGTTGTGAAGGTGAGTGGAACAAAATCTGGGGATCGGTGGGATCTGAGGGAGCAAACCTGTCCTGTGTGTGTGTTGAATGTTAATTGTTTGTAATGTATTGTCTCGAAAATCAAAAGGAATCGAAAATGCTGCATCTCAAGGGGCTATCCCTAAATAAAATAAAATCAAAATCCAGTCAAATCTTTATAGGAAAGTTGTTGGAATCAAAATATTTCAGTCTGCGTGTATGTTCGCCGACCCTCAGGACAATTTCAGGAAACATGAAGTCTTTTCATACAATGGACTGGTTTAAAATTACCCATGTTTTTGTGTTAGAATATTGTCCCAGTCACAGTCACAGTCCAGAGCTTTCCAAACCAGAACCTGCCGCACGATCTAAAAACTTCTGTTCACAAAATCTCTTTGTCTAATCTGATAAAGCCTGAGCTAATGCGCAAAGAATTGGAAAAATAAATCTGTCTCTGGATGACAAAGCTCATATATTAGTGTTTGTTGCCGCCTGCCCTGGGACTACAGACGGAAACTAGCTTTTATGGCTAAATCTGACAAATTTACACAGACACATGTTGATTAGTGTGCACAAAGAAAATGTCCAATTAGAACAAACAAATACATGAATAAATAAATACATAGAATATAGACACATGCATACCTAAAATACTCACTTCTTCAGAAACATATTAAGTCCTGGACCCTGAATAAAATAATAATAATAATAACACTAATAATAATGATAATAATAACAATATCAATAATAGTAATAATGGTGACAATAATAAAAATAATAACAATAATAATAAAGCTAATAATAATGATAATGGTGATATTATTATTATTATTATTAATAATAATAATAATGATAATGATAATGATAATAATAATAATAATAGTAATAATGGTGACAATAATAATAATAATAATAACAATAATAATAAAGGTGATCATAATAATAATAATACTAATAATAATAATAAAACATTGTACGTTTTTTACACTTTAAGACGCTTTACAGAAGAACAAATAAGAAACAATAATAAAAAACAAAAAATAAACAGTTTTTAACATGTCAACACTGCTTTGTTTTCACATTACGCTTGTCTTTGTTGCCGTCTTTCACAAAAAAAAAAAAAAAGAAAATAATATGTGTTTGTGGCCGTGACTGGACAAAATGTGGACAATTTTCCTGGGTGTGTTTTGATATTCTGTGGTCAGCACTCACCGAGCCAGTGTTCCCCCGTGATCTTCCCGAAGCCCTCCCTGTAGGACTCCCATCCTCTGAAGAAGTTGACCGAGCCGTCCTCCCTGCGCTGGATGACCTGGAGAGGCAACAACATGAAGCACACGGGTCAACTTTAGCTTTGAGCAAGTAGCTTCATCCTCCTCTTCCTCTTCCTCCTCCTCCTCCGCTCGCACCGTGACTCACTTCGCCTTCTTCAAATCCCAACGCTGGTTTTTCCGCCGTGCTCCTCTCCAGCAAAAGTAAATGAACTCATAAATGCTTGCTCTTTCACAAATGAATAATGCAAACACTCTTCTCGACTAAAAAGGCAATTTGTCGGAAGCTAATAAAAGGAATCCATTAAATCTTGACTGACTTTGAATTAAATCAAGGCAAAAAAAAAAAATGCATGCTTAATTGAAATCCCAGTAAAAAGGAGGAATATATTCATAGTACAATAATGCTAATGCAGACAAAAAGATTTAATGGATGCCTTTTCTTGTTGGTGGGAATTGTGAATGTGATAACGCACTGATGTGTGGAGATAACAAGTGAGGCGCCCGGCGAGATTCTCAATGTTAGAAACAAAGAGAATATTTGCATAAAGCTCATTTATTTTTGATACACTTCTGCCTGTGCAAAAGGATCCGTGTTAATTCTCAGCAATAAAACATGTGGTCCACTGAAAATGCTGACTCGTGAGATTTCTCAAAATGGGAGTTGTATTTGCAAGGTTATTTGTATAGCACAGTTCATGCACGAAAAAGGCGTGATGAAACGAGATGGAAGAAGCCACACAAGGCGTTTAAGTCATACATAATCATGGTACATTAAAAGAGAGTGAAGATAGAATCCTTCAGTTGTACAGTATCACAGCGAAACAGAACTGTTTTCAACCTGGATTTGAACGTTATCAGAGAAGAAGCCTGTCTCACATTTTCAGGAAGATTGTTCCAAATTTGAGCTGCATGAATCTGGAAAGCTTAAAAATGGATTTCCAGAATGAAGATTAACCATAGACTGTATTTAGATGGACGATGCTAACCCCCTAGCTCCATGAATCACAATAGGGAAATTCTCATGGACAAAGTTTGGCTCCAACTCGCTCTGGCTTCTAATGACTTACAAAGTAAACTCCTCTGGCTCAGTAATTTTCTGTGTAACATGAATCATTTTGGGCTTTACAAATCTGTGGTTCAGCATCCTCTATGATCCCGGTGTTTATATTGTGAAAATGTCTTTGTAAATCCAGATATGAGCAAAATAGGGATTGACCAATCAGATGCCTTCATTTGCGGGGAAACTCCAGCTTGCCCTAGCAACACATCTGCCCCTGCTACGGCGCAAAGCTAACGCCACAGAGGAAGTGCCCATATAAGGAAATTGGCTCCATCTAGCTTATGTTCAAAATGGCTTCTTCTGCATAAAGGCTAACACTATCACTGTCAGTCCACTCCTAATATACGATCTAAGAGACCAACAAATGTGGATGGACAATATATTGCTTCCAAAGAAAAAAAATGTGTTAAACAGTATTATTGAACCTACTTATTCACTCATTTTGATACACATTGACACCTCATATAGACTCAAAATATATAGTTCCATCCATCAATTAATAAACAATATAGTATTTATTGTATAATACTATTCTTGGGTTTCATTAAACTGGCCAGTAGGGGGCGAATGAGCAGAGGTGAGCAGAGCATTGAAAACCATGTAAATCGTGTCTGTTTTGGAGTCAAAATCCTGTGCAGTGTACAGTTGTTGGAACAGTTTTAATCAGGAGGGGGACACTCAATTCTAAGGGAGTACTAAAAAATATTTCTCAAAATAGTCTCGATTTCGGGCATTTAAAAAAACATTAAAAATAAAAAAAAACATAAGAAATTGCTGCGCCTCATTCGAGTGATTTTTTCAAAGAGTACTCCTTTATATGATTCCATAGTTGGAACACGGAAGAAACTCTTGTCTTTCTCTCTACTTGTGCGGTTGCTTCAAACGCACACCGCACAAAAAGATGGCATTTTGACAGCGCTTCTTCTTCTACTATATCTCCGTGTATAAACCCGGCAGACTGCACCGCCAGGATACGTCACGTCCTGTCCCACGTTTGTTATTCGCGCCACTGCCCTGACGTCATATGAAACCTAAGAATACCTTACTTACACAGTATACATTTCCAACTTTTTTTTTTGCATCGTTCCTTGCCAATGCTGGTGGTCTAAGGACAGCGAAGATCTGAGTAACTTCCTTATTATAATTATTACAGACATGGGTCATGCCGCTCCCTATGGACCAATGTCTCCTATGTGTTTGTTATTGCATTTCCTATATTCATACTGTTTGATTCTCTGGTCTGGTGTTGCCAAATCAACAACTTTGACAACCGGCAAGTCCTCCCGAGACGACCCCTGTTGGGATTTAGAGCAATACAAAAACAAATTGCATTGAAGTGACTGTGGGAACGAGGGATTTGTACAAGATTCTTAATTTGGGAGAGTCTTTAGAAGGAAAGGCTCCCGCAGCTCAGTTTACAAATCATTCTAAACGTGCTCAGGTAAATCTGGAATGCACTGAGACCAGATGGCACCTGTCACGGAGATGCCGCCCCAAAATGTCTCCTGACTCAACCTTTTGAGTGCTAGTGCTGGTGCTATGTGACTGGGTGCAGCTCTGACTACCACTACCCCAGACCCAGAAATGGATTAAGGGGAAGAAAATTGATGGATGGATAAAATAAGTTTGTTATGCTATATTTCAGGAAAATGTTTCATCAAAAATGTTTAAGACATAAGTAAATAATGCTTTAAATGTATGTTTTTAAATTAGAATCAAGTCATTTGGGTCAATATTTCTTATTTTCAGAATGTTGTCATGTCTTATTTTCTTGTTCTAGTAGCACTTTTTCTTATTTAAAGAAATATTTTTTATAATTTTCCTATATTTTTTTTCTTTTTTTAAGGGATGTTTTTCCATTGTAAAACAAGATTTGCCAGTGGGACAAAGCTAAATAATTTAGTTTTAATAATATTCCAGAAATCCCCTCCCTACAATACAGAGCCAGAAAAGTCACCTTTTCGAATTGGTCAGAACTTGGGAGGCCACTTGGAAAGTTTTTTCTTTCTTTGACAGGACTAGACAGATTTACTCCTAACAACACAGTTGTTATCTTGAATTCTGTTCGTGAAATTCAACCTTTTCAACCTAAACTCTAAACCTAGACATTTATCCATGGTCTCACAAAATTGCCAGTGAGATTTGCAGTTGTGGATCTGGTGTTCACTGTAATGCCGGGGTCGGAGCTCCTTGAACAGAACAAAACAAAGGGGATTTGGAACAGCTGCTCCGAGTCCTTCACAAGCTTTGCTCTTCATGCTGCCGGAGACTGGCCCAGGCCTCGCTCTACCTGGAAATCTGAAATCTACTGCTATGCTACTAAAGCTCAATCTCAATTCATGGCAATACATTTTATCAATTCGTCAACTAAACAATTCTATAATAAATCTTTTATTTTATTTGTAGATAATCATTATTATTCTTGGATTTATTATTATTTGTGTGCCTTTCCTACACAAGGCAACACAAACAATATTGCAGACATAAAATACATTATAATCTACATAAATAGAAAAAAAAATATTATTAAATACAAACATTAATATCTCAAAAAATACAAAAAACATTGAAAAAAAACTGAAAACATCAAGATTACACATGGGATTAAAATCACAAGTAGCCACAATGCATTAAAAAGAGTAAAGATAAAATCCATCAGTGGTATGCACAGCTAAACAGAACTGTTTCTAACCTGGATTTGAAAATTGCCAAAGTAGACCACTGTCTCACATTTTAATGATGATTTTTCCAGATTTTAGCTCATTTATCTGAAACGCTGCCTCCCCATGTTTAATCCTGACTCTGGCACCAGCAGGGGGCCCCAGTCAGAAGCTGATTACAACAACAGGGCTAGGTCCTTTTCCCAGTGAAACTACAACTCGACTATAGCTATTGAATAACACTGTATATTTAAGATTAAGATTAAGATTAAGTGATCCTATTTTTGTCCCACATTGGGGAAATTTCAGAGTTGCAGAATCACTAGTTACACAAAAGTAGGATTGAGGAGCACACAGCACAAGATAAATGAATAATAACTCTGTACTAAAATAAAATATAGCCAAAAAATAATCTCTACCTCTAGCATAAAAAGAAGCAGAATAATGTTTACTTCGAACACTGATGGACCTGTTGCATCCTGGGAACATGTTGGCATATGTCCCCAGAGTAGAACACGCTCTGCGACCTCTGAGGTTAAGCAACAATTAAATCTTGGAGAGGCTCTCGATTTTCACAAGGATTCCCACCAAGGGCACGGAGCCAACACAGCGTTAACCCTAATCTGAGGTGAACTGCAGCTGCTAATCTGTGGCTTCATCTAGTGCATGAGTGCAGCAGGAGCGGCAGGAGCAGCAGGAGCACGAGAGGACACTGTGGACCCATGTGGTCTGAGCCAAAGCCTAAGCACTCACAAGTCAAATCATGAGTGCTCTATGATAGACTTTTATGCCAGGAACAAGACCAGATAGAGACAAGAGAGAAAGACAAGTGAGGGAGAGAAAGAGAGAGAGAGAGCGAGAGTAGGGCACAGATAGAGATAAGCAAGAGCTGAGAGAGAGACCAGAGAGAGACAAGTGAGCAGGGAAAGAGAGTAGAGAGAAAGTAGAGGGAGACAAGCAAGAGAAGAGATAAAGATCAGAGAGACAAGAGAGAGAAAGCGCAGAGTGAGCAGAGAGACAAGAGAGAGAGAGAGAGAAAGAGAGCACAGAGAGGGACCAGAGAGAGCAGAGAGACAAGAGAGAGAGAGAGAGCACACAGAGTGAGACTAGAGAGAGCAGAGAGAGACAAGAGAGAGAGTAGAGAGAGAGAGCAGAGAGAGACAAGAGAGATAGCGACAGAGATCAGAGAGAGAGAGAGCAGAGAGAGAGAAGAGAGGGACAAGAGAGAGAACGTAGAGTCAGACCAGAGAACGAGACCAAAGACAGAGACCAGAGAGAGACCCAAAACTAGAGTTGACTGGACCTCACTGATTAATGC